CATCGAAGCGTTTTTTTTTGATAGTGATTTTAATCACTGTCAGATATCATTATACTTGATCCATCTATGCTACGTCACCACAGCCGGAGTACTTCCTTCGTCCGAACTGGCTTCTTTTTCTTGGTGTAAGAGTGAATTATGAAGTTTTTGACATTTTCCACACTTTCGCGATGGACATTGATTTACGTGATGGTTGTTTTTTTTTTAAACAATTTTTGCACAATTTCAATTAACTGACTTTATTTATTCTGGACGCTATATCAAGTTCCAGAAATGTAGTGCACTTATATATTAGNGTGCCAAAAATGTAGTGCACTTATATATTGGATGAGGTTGTTGACACAAATAACATTTCATTTTTGACGTAGTTAAAAATGTCGATGCACCTTTTTTGTACGTTCCAACTTTTGAAGTTCTAATTGACAACCAATTTGATTCATTTTGCTTGAATGTTAATAATTTTGCGTTTTCCGCCGACTCTAACATCTGACTTCTTTTACTCAAGAACTCCATCATTAATTCTACACTCGGTAAGTCCTCTCTCGACACTTCCGTTTCCCATTAATGTATTGTATTTGTGTCGAGTTTTGTATATATGACATGCAATAACAACGCACCCTAATTGTATGGATCATGATTTAAAGCTTTTAATACTTGTATATGCGCGTTTAGTGGATCAGTTAAATGTTTTAATTTAATGGCTGATTCTTTATTCATTGGTTCCAGGTCAAATATACGTTTCGTGTGTATTTGAATTATAAAAATAGAGTGGACTGTATTTCTAGATTTTATTTTATTATAATGAAAAATTATTTATAGTAACAATTATTACGTCGCGAAACGGTCCGGCAATGTTACCGGCATAGCGTATAACGAGCAACTAACCGATCCCACCATTATCACAAACGATAATCGTATAATTAACACTTATTATATATCAATTAATGTTTCAAAGTTTTAAGTTAAAAATTAATCTTAAATTTTATTATCGTATTTCAATTTTATGGAACTTAAAATATGTTTTAACGTCTCCTTTTGATGAATCGGATGTAAAGTTGTATTTAGTTGAATTAATAAATCACATTAAATATCATTGTCAATTTCAAGATAAATTTTATTTACGGGATAATATAATCAAGACAGACGTTTATATAAAATTATTTAACTCACAATTAAATCAAAATATTCTTTGATAGTTATCTTATACTTCAAACATTCAATTCCATAATAAGTTCAATAAACTACAGATATGCAAAATTGTTGAAATTATAAAGACGATGATAAATGAATGTGAAAATTATTATAATAAGAATTTATTTGACAAATTTGTTGAATGCACTAAATTAATTCAAGAAGTTATTGTAAATTCAGAATCTATGTTTCAAACTTTAAATGATATTTTGTTATTTATCATAAATTTGAACCTAAAATCTATATTCCCTGAATACGAAGCTCCAAATACAATAATTAACAGAAGACATAGTTTCATTTCTTTAATTTCTAATTGGTTTTTGTTGGTTTACGATACACGTTCCGTTTGCTGTTTTTCGACACCTTTACCAGATATGGATAATTAAATTTTCGTCTATTGTAAAAGCATATCAATTGAAAAGCCATACAACAGACACAGAAAATCCATTGATTATATTCCTAGGAAAAGCTACATTCTCAGTCCAATAAGGTGGGATTTTTAAATTTAATTTTTTAGCAAATTCAAATCAAAATTTTCTAACATGTTTGGTACTCAACCCAAAATATATATTAGTACATTCTTTTAAAATATTCAGCCAAAATTGCTTCTTATTCCACATTAAATATTCACTTGAGTGTGATTTGTAACCATATTTTGGTAGAGAATCACTAAACTTTCTATTTTTTATATACCAGTTCAATCTAACATGCCAAATAACTGCAGTTCTCTTCATCAGTTCATTGTCTTTGCATCGGTTAGATATTTTTTCTCTTGTTCACGTGATAACTATTACACAACAATTAGGTATATTAATCAAATTTCTATAATAATTAAATGATACAAATGTCCTCCGAATAACTGGTACATTTATCTTCATCAATATGATCTAATTATATAAAGCATCAAAGAAAATACTTAATACATAGAACATTCTTAACAAACAAAATTTAAACGTATAAAATATTTTATTTATAAATAAATAAAAGAAATAATAAAAAACTCGTCCGCTATGTAATAATAGTAAACTTATGTNATCACTGTCAGATATCATTATACTTGATCCATCTATGCCACGTCACCACTGTGCCGCGACCCCCCTGTGCTGGGTTTTTTTATTTACTTTTCGAAGTCAAAATTACTTTTGTTATCTTGTAAAATACACATGATATCAGAGATTTTTAAGAAAATATAATTTTACACACAGTATAACAATAATAATAATAAAGTAATTATTGTGTTTTTATACATGTCATAAAGGTAAATATTGACCGTCTTACAATTGTACCCGTTCCCCCAACCATAACATATATTAACACAGAAATACACGTTAAAAATTATGAAAGAAATTACAACAAATAGAAATTGGTATATATAAAAAATTATGTTAATTCCTTAAAATTTAAATATTCGTAATCAATTTTGATAATTTTACCACAAAATGATTTCATATATTTGCAAATAATTTCATAAACTGGACCATCATGCTTCTTTTTATAAAAAAAACTTTTTAATTTATTTGCATGTCTAATATTCTTTAAAAATAAGCAATGTTTTTTTGAGTTATAAAGCATTTCATTACTTAATCCTTTATATAGATCGCAATGGGACATGTATATTCGATCAAGATACGCCTTTGCTTCTACTTCATTCATCGTTTTTGTATATTTATACGAACCATTATTCAGAGCTTTTATATCATTTACAAATCTCGTTATTATACTGGCTAATTTCGCCAGATGTTTATTGCCTTGATTGGGATACTTCCAAATAGATAATTTTTTTAGTGTAGCCATAGCAGATAATAAAGATTTTAGCATATCAATAGACAACGATATTGAATCGCGCATTTTATTTATGCATTCTACAGGCTTATTAATAGTACCCTTTGATTCTTCATTTCTACATGAGCTGATTAGGGTTAACAAGATAACTTCATAGTTTTTGAGTATTTCAGTATACCTGCATCTCAGTAATTGATTAAAATACTTTTCTATTTTACTTAAGTTTGTGGAGTTCACTTTTGTCTGAAACAATTCATGTGCATCTATTCTTTTATGGTTTTCTTCAAAAATCATAATATTTTGAAAGGGCTTAAAATATTTTTTTGCAAATAATTTGTTTAGTGTAGCAATTTTATGTTCGGAAGTATCAGCATAAAGTGGCGGCACAAGACTATAAGAATAAAAATATTTTAATGATTTGGTTTAGTATTTTATAAAATTTTATTTTGTTTTTTTATACCTCTAAAAAATAATCTCTTAAATTAGAAATATTAGACAAAGAAAATATGGAGATTTTGTGTGTATAAAATTTTAACGAATAAATTAGTTCTATGTATTATGTAAAATTTGAGCCTTAAAATGTTGATGAAATTAACAATTAATAAAAATAAAATACCATAAACATAAACAACATTTGTATCATTTGTAGCCCAGCATTCACTGATAACTTAAATAACTTTTGAACTAGTTAATATTTTTTAGTGATTATTTTTTAAATAACAGTTATACGTTAGGGTTATAATTATATCTCAATAATTTAAATTTTTACGTTTTATAAATAATTATTTTTAAACTTTAAATAAAATTAAAAAAAAAAAATCTATGATATCTATTTTATAGGGTAGATTTTAAGGAAAATATTGATAAAACAATATCTTATTAAAATACAGTAGTTGTAAGTATATATCATTTTAAAGTTTGTGAAATTGAATTTTTATGTGTTATTTTACGGTATTAAACATTGAAATACGCGTTTAATCAAAAGCATTTAATCAAATAAATAAATTATTATCGCAAAAACACATACCGCAATATCCGGATTTTTCACATCCGTTTAATGTAACAGACGCTTGCAACTCAGCCATTGAAGCTATACTATCGCAAATGAAGATTGGGTCTGACTTACTGATATCGTATATTTCTCGCATATTGAACAAGGCAGAAAAGAACTACAACACAACAGAGAAATAACTCTTAGCCATAGTATGGGCAGTAAAATAATTTCGACCTTATCATTTCCAAAAGAAATTAATAGTAATAACAGAACACAAATCTTTCCTATTATTATCTCCTAGGTAACATCCCTATCTAATCACTTAATTGACCCTTCTCCCGTCATTTCATCATTTAAATTCAACTTTATCAATGCTGACTGAGGCTTATATTTTGCATACATCAATGCTTATTTGTTCAACTTTTGTCTTTCTTCTTCTCCCTTATCAGATTATGATTTCTTTGTTTCTATTCTACTGAATGCCGTGAATGCCTCTATACCAATTTTCAAAACTTCCAAAAAAAATTTGCCTCTTTCACCTATTTGGTGGAACTCTACATGTACAACCGCTGTTAAAGAACGCTCTGTTTCTTTCCATCAGTACAGATCTTATTCCATCGACCTATTGCCCTCTCCTCGTCTCTCTGTAAAATAGTAGAATACTTATTAAAAATTCGTTTAGATTGGTATCTGGAAAAAAATACTCTCATCCCGAATAACTTATTCGGTTTTAAAAGAGGCTTTGGTACTATGGAGTGTCTATTTTCCTTTATAGGACCCATATATGAGTCCTTTGACAAAAAATAATTACTTCCAGCAATATTTATGGATATCAAGGGTGCATTTGACTCAGTCCATATACCTACTCAATAAAAACACTTAAACGTCATTGAACCCCCTCTTCTTTGTAATTTTATTTCCTCACTTTTTTCTCATCGCTTCCTACACTTCTCCATCCCTTCCGGGGTTTCTATTTCTCGTTCTTCTTTTCGTGGCTTTCCACAAGGCAGTTATCTTAATCCCATTCTTTTCAATATATATATATGTGTGTACTATCAGTAATGACCTCTTCTCTCACGGTTTCTCCTTCCTCTTTTATGCTGATGATATTGTCCATTTTTCTTCTGATAAATCACTTAATCACGCTGTAGCTAATCTCAACGACACCTTGTACATACTGTACCAAAATCTCCTCTCTTCTTACTTTACCAAAGCTTCTTAAAAGAGTCAATTTATCATTTTTACTAGAAAACATATACCTCTCTCTATCGCCATTGTACTTTAGTTGATCATTTAATATCCCCTCCAATCTGTTACTTACTTAGGACTTAACTTAAGTAGACTTAGGACTTAACGACACTAAGTTAAGAAAGGTTCCTTTTTTCCTTTGCATCACACTGGTCTAATTTTCTCCGTTGTATTATCGGGACATCTTGGGAATTTCATTCCTCTTCCCTTTTATTAATTTTTAACTCTATTATTCGTGCCAAGATTGACTACGTTTCCTTTCTCTTCTCTTCTGCATCCTTATGTCACCGTAATAAGCTTAATTCAGTAATGGCTTCTTGCTTTCGCTCAATTTAGGCGCTCCTCCTTCTATTTCTGTTCCCAGCCTTGAAATTGAATGCTGTTGTCCTCCTATCGAAATTAGAAGACTTCGATAAGCGTGCAAATTACTCCTAAAATCTATTTCCTGCCCCAAATTCTCATTATTCAATCTTTATAAAACTGTTCGCCAACTCTGGCGTTATGTCCCCAAATCTCTTCCTTATCCTTGTTTCTATATGTTCTTCATTTTTTCCTCTCACTAATCATACACAGAAGTCCTATAGTCGTCTTCCTATTTGTGACTGCCCTTACAAAGCCATAATCATCACTCCTAATCTTCATGTACTAACTAATTTCCTAGGGTTCTCACATTCTAACCTCCAATCCCTTCTTTTGACCATTATTAATAATTTATTCTCTCACTATATTTCTTCAAACTTTCCCAACTGTCGTCTATTTTTTACTGATGGGTCTCCCTCATTATTCCTTAATATCTCCTTTTCTACCAACCTGCATTCTTTTTCTTCCTCCTTTAGTCCCGAATGCATTGCTATTGTCAATGAACTTCTCTAGGTTTTTGTTTCTTTAGATACTTCTTTTCTCATCTTCTCAGATTCGCAGGCTTGTCATCTGGCTATTAATTATAACCCTTTTGATTCTCAAACTTTTCCTATGATCCTTTCAATTAGAGCACTCCTCCACAAAATTTTAACGTCTGGTTAAGTTCAATTCCATTGAATCCCTAGATATGTCGGGATCCGTGGTAACGAGTTCGCTGATTCATTGGCTAAATGTGAATCATCATTCTTATGTTATCCTTCCTTTCTTCTTCCTTATTTTGATTTTCTTAATTATTTTAGATCTAAGCTAATGGAAGCATAGCTCACCAAGTGGTCTTTTCTCCCTAACATCTTTGACCGATGGCATAGGCACATCGTACCTACCCGTTCCAAAATTCCGTAGTTCCATTAACTAGATCTCACTCACAATATATTTTATAGCATTTCACGACTCAGACTGGGTCATAACCTTTTACCAACATTCGCCTACAAATTAAATCTGAACTCGGTTCCCTTTTGCCATTCATATAAGAATGAAATCCTCGGAGATTTTCCTCGCTATTTATTAAATTGCTCCTCCTTGGCGTCTAATAGGTGCCTACTTTTAACATTTTTAAAATCCAATAGAAATTACAATTTTGTACCCTCTGTTGTACTAAATTCCCATTTTATTCCCGTTATTATTGCCATCATTTCTTTTATATTGAGCACTGGTTGTACTATTTAACTACTTTATTATATATTATGATTTATTGTACATACTTTACTTTTGTTATACAAATTAACACCAATTCATAACGCTAATTAATACTATGTTATCTAATTCGTATGTAATTGTCGAGCTATGATATTTTCATAATAAAAGCTAATAAAAACAAAAACTTATTATTATTTAAATAAATGTAAAAATAATATAATGTTATACAATTGTAAATGTTCACAAATAATAAAATTAAAATTATTATTATAAAAGTGTTGATTTTAAGTTTCATAAATTAAACCACCTTGTGCACCGCACTAGACATTATCATGTAATATGAGACAATATGTTGACGTATCGTTTGTTATGGGAATCTTAGTATCTAGTTTTACTTTAGCTACCGGTTTTTAAATGGAATATTTCGAAAAATCATCAAAATTAAAATTAAACGTTATTAACATTATCAAAATTTATCATATCAATAACTGTAAAAGTTAATCCAGTACAATTAAAATTAAAATTTTGAAAAACTTACTTTTTTTCAAGTGTTGGTTGTTTTCAAAGTATATTTAACGCTTATTGTGAATTATAATTGTAAAACAAATTTATGCTTAAGTTATAACTGTAACACAACAGTTTACAAACAAAAGAAATATACTGAAATTCTTTGGAAATTAGAGTATTTATTCTCTCGTCAAACCCAAAAACTTATAAGTCATAGAAGAGACAGGAGGCACTGTTCTCGAAAATTATCGAGGAAAATGGTAATTAAATGAATTATGTTGAAATGAAGCTCATAAATGTATTATTAAATTACTTCATCGATAAGTATCGCATACACTCTTCTGTAACTATAATGTGGTAAGAGGTAAATGAGGCGCTAAATAAGTATATGGAGGCAACGGCCCTATATGCGCATATCAAATGTATGTAACCATAAATAACATTATTTTACAACGGCAAACATTTATACATAAAATATAACGTATTTTGGGAACAATTTTACCATTTTCAACGCTAAAAGCACTTATACAATTTTTGAACAATACACACAATGTTCTGAATTAAATACATGACGTAAAATGAATATATTTGAAAAAATTATTATTATCAAAAATTATTATCGAAACAGAAGTTTTAACGTATGATTGAATAAACACTTAACAAATTAAAAATTGAGCGCATAAAACAAGAGCATATTTAATATATATTTCTCGCTCAAATTGTACAAGATGATTATTTAAAAGTTAGTAATAGATTTTCTTAAAATAAATATATTAATAACTTTTTTTGACTTTCAATTATACTACTAACATTAAATGCACATTAATACATCAATACATTTGTCGGAATTCATTAAAAAATCATTGCTGTAAGCTTAAAGCTAAAAATCTCATAATAATCTTAATATCTAATAAATTTAATAAATATTAACTTTACCCAGGTACAGTTGGATGTAATAATTCTTGATATCCGAGATTATTATTCTCATTTTCAATAGTTTCCTTATAAAATATAATGAGATTATCATAAATAAATTGAACAAAACTTTTATAATTTTCTTGCGGTAAAAAGTATTTTTCGTTGTACTTTTCTAACAAACATTTACGAACAAAATTACTATTAATATTGCTGGATTTATCTGAAAATGGAAAATTTTGAAGCATATGATTTACTTCGGTATGGAAATGTTTGACATTTAAAAGATCCCCGCAAGCTTCATCTGTATCAAATTCTCCATTTGATTTAATGTAAGTAATCTCACATAGTTTTTCCTTTGATAGAATGAATGTAATAAAATATTTAATCTCGTTAATTACTGTATTTGGAGCTTCGTATTCAGGGAATATAGATTTTAGGTTCAAATTTATGATAAATAACAAAATATCATTTAAAGTTTGAAACATAGATTCTGATTTTACAATAACTTCTTGAATTAATTTAGTGCATTCAACAAATTTGTCAAATAAATTCTTATTATAATAATTTTCACATTCATTTATCATCGTCTTCATATGGCCGTCATATAATTTCATTAATTTCGCATATCTGATATTTATTGAACTTATTATAGAGTTAAATATTTGAGGTATACGAATACATTCATTAATATGTTGATTCAATGGTGTGTTTAGTAATTTTTCAGAATCGTCTGTTTTGATTATATTATCCCATAAATTAAATTTCTCTTGAAATTGACTATGATACATAATGTGATTTACTGAGTCAATTAAATATAATATTTCATTACCATAACCAGAAGTAGACGTTAAAATATATTTTAAGTTCCATAAAATTGAAATAATATAAAAAAATTTTAGATTCATTTTTATCCTGAAACATAGAAAGAACATTTGACAATAAAATAAGTAATAAAATAAATAAATTATTACGTGTTTTTATAGCATTTACCTTAATAGATATAGAAATAGAAATGTAATTTTAAACTATAAAATAAGTTTATTCAGATAGACTATATCATTATTAAATGTTTAATTTCTATACATATGTATTTTTTAATTTTATGTATTCAATACTTTTAAATATTACACTGTAAGAATGTTCCTTATTTATTTTATTAAATTTTATATGTATGAATATTCTGTTCTATGTATTTTCATAAAAAAATTAATTCGGGACTAATTGAGTTAATATATTAATATTATTTGAATGTAACTAATAGACATTATTTGTTTATAGTAAAAAAATTAAGTCCAATCCAAGAAAATCTATTTCATATGGATAAAATACTTTAAAGAGAATTATAATATTTTTTTTATATTGAAACCTTAAATAATTCCCTTTTATTTGATATAATATTTTTGAAAATCTGACCCTTTACTTGTCCACACATATGTCAAATTAAAGGCTGTGTTAAGCACTATTAATTAAAAAAAAAAAAATTGTCCCGACGACTTGTCTTCTACGTGCAATCGGCTGCCGTAGTTGAAAATGCTATTTTTGTGTTAAAATTTTTGTTTTTCGATTTTAAATGTTCAACTTTCAATTGCTATTACCTTTCAAAAAATGTATGTATTAACATAATTTTTGTTTGTCTAAATACATTATATATACTTCTTTCATATGACATACTTTTTTTCCTAAATTTGACCATTTTCTCTTATACAGGTGCGTTAAAAACTTGAATCATACGTATAAAAAGTAGAACTTTTGAAAATATTAAAATATTAAAACTATACAGTACAGTTGCAGCCACCGACTAGCAACCATCACTCTGAAGATGGGCTCTGCAATGATTCCGAAACGTCAGAACTCAACTGCAAACATGGATATATCCTCAATACGCTAAACTAACTATGGTAAAAAGGGGCATTCTGGTTCTCCTCGCTTCACCTACCACAGTTCCTGATGATGAAGCGTTGTCTGGGGGACGAGGAAATTCGATGTAAAATAACATAATGGAGGGGGAACGACGAAAATTAACATAAATTAACCTAATGTAATGGGAGGGGTGGGGGATGAAATACAAAATAATCTAACGAGTCTTGTCGCGCGTCCAAATCGATTATTATGCGGAAAAATAAAAATGAATTTTCGAGAGTAGGTACACGGTAATCCTTGAACATGCTCGTCAAGTCCGTGTGTTTGATGTGCCGCACCCCATACGCAAAGGATTACTCCTCCAACCTTCAAAGACATTGCCGTATCGCATATATTGTTCAACGACCGCCGCATACACTACTACCGGCGACACTTCCACCTAGGCCGCAGATGACGACGACAATAATCGCACTAATATATTGATGAATGTTGATTTCGACTAATTTGTTAATAAACTATACATATAGTTATTTGTTTGGATTATCACGCAGTAGCCGATCATATAATATATACGAAATATCGGTTTTTAACAAGAAAAAACGCATTTTCCAGGTAAGCTATACGGTTACGGTGAAAGTACGAATTTTAAACGTCGAATCCGATATTTTGATATGCGACATGCACATATATAGATAAGACCGAACCTAAAATGTTAATTTTGTCTAATTTAAAAAAAAAACATAGATTTGTTTAAAACAGACAATGTGCCAGATGGCTCTATAGATGATTATTTTAATAATGATATTTTAATACTATAGTACTTGAAATGAAAACAGCAGATGGCTTAATGCAATGGCGATGTCGCCGTCATTTACATCGAAAGTTATTTGTTAACATACAATTAACCGTATCATTCTTAGATAGCCTTCCTTCATCACAAAGACACAATACAATTACCAATGCTGTTGAAGATGAGGTTAGATTTGACGAAAGTGAATTGATGGAAAATACTCACACAGATATTGAAGAAAACATCTTGTAAATAGAAAAAGTCTAATTTCAGTTTTGTAAAGTTGATTTAGAAAAGTATATTTTTGATTCCGAAGAAAGTTTTTTGAAGAGCAATATATTTGTTCATAAATAAATAAACATTGTTTTTATAAAGTTTGTATAAAATCTTTTAATTTTTTTGTATGTATGTTATAGAAGTAACAAAATATGCTACTTTATAATTTTTTATTATTTCTCCGTAAAAATTACAATATTAAATTATTAAATATTAGTTTCATACTATATTTAATTGCTATAATAAATATTTATTCATAACTTATACTTTTAAATCTAAGAACTACTAATCAGGATATAATTCAGGAGTGATTAAAATCACTGTTAGATATCATCTATACTTGTCCCAACATTCCCACGTCTATACTATGCCGCGAACTCTATTGTGCTCCGTTGTTTTCATTACATGTAGATTTGATATATTATTGAAAAAAAAAATGAAATTGCTAATTTAAGCTATAAAATTACATAATTATAGTTTTAGAACGCCATTACTTACAGAAATAAGTTTTCGACATTATTTTCTATATATAATCGCATTTATACATGATAGAGGGTTTCTGATGTTTTTTCCTTTTTCATCTTAAAATACTTTGTATTAGGTTTTATTTTATGTAGGTTTATTAAAAAATGTAAGTTTTTTAGAACATTAACAAGAATTGAAAAGTAAAAAGGCAAATATGATTTTATATTCCCACAGTACCTCCGATAACGATTGAATATTCAAAACAAAGTATGTCATTTATAAGACAAATATTATCAATAAAAATTTCGTACTTATCTGTCCAGTTTTTGAGAAGTTAATTGAGTATATAATGAAAACTACGAAAATCAATATTAATTGTTTATTATAAATGACATTTTTTAGGACATTATTCTTTTTTACTAGAACTGGGAAAATTTTTTTCTAAATTATGGTACTGATAGTTTCAACGAAATATGATTTGAGATATTAAACACTTTGTTTAAGAAAATCGGTTTAGTAAGAATGAATGTAAACACTTATACACACAAAAAAAAAAAAACACGACAGAGTAAAACTAATAGTTTCTCTGCTACACATCAAAGTTAAAATATGAATTAACGTAGTCCAAAAATGAATAAATTATTTAAAAAAAATTACATCGAAGTCTTAATTATATAAAAGTTGTCAGTAATAGCAAAAAGCTTTCATTTTCGATTGAAAATATCATGAATAATTCATTTTAATGAATAAGTTAATATAATCGAACAGTTTTATAATAATCGAATACTATCAAATAACATTGACAATCTTATTATTCTAGTCAATAATGAATCACTAACTTAGTGATTTGCATATTAATTAATTTTTGATGAGATTTTCAATAACTTAGGTTAAGTGGCTGCTGAGTATAGTAACTTATGAGATGACATGAGGCACCTTACCCTCATCTACAAGTAATATATTATAAACATGGTAATATATATTATAAGTGGAAAAATAAATTACAAAATTATAAAAGAAGTTTATATAGTAAAATTATATTAATTCTTCAAAGCCTCAATTCTCGTAATCAATTTTAATAATTTTAGTACAAAATTTTTTCATATGTTTGCAAACTGGTTTCATTGACTGGACCATCATATTTCATACTAATTAAATAATTTTTAAAAATATGATCATTTACAATTTTATCTAAAAATTTACAACAATCTCTTGGAATTTTATTCATCTCTTTGTTTATATCTATCTGCAACTCCTTGTAGGACTCATATAATTGATAAAGATAAGTCTTTGCTTCATTCCATATTTTTTGTAAATTCATACGAACCATTATTCAGAGCTTTTATATCATAAACAAATCTCGTTATAATACTGGCTAATTTCGTCAAACGATTATGGCTTCTTTTGTTATACTCCCAAATACATAATTTTTTTAGTGTAGCCATAGCAGATAATAAGGATTTTAGCATATTAATGGACAGCGATATTAAATCACGCAGTTTGTTTATGTATTCTACAAGCTTATTAATAGTACTATTTGATTTAAGTATTAAATAATTTTGATTCGTAGTTTTAAGTATTTAGGATCAGAAAAGAGCGGTGGTATTGACGAGGATGTAAGACACAGGATTAAGTGCGAGTGGTTGAAATGGAGAGAAGCGTCTGGTGTCTTATGCGATAAAAGAATTCCAATGAGACTGAAAGGTAAATTCTACAAGACTGTAGTGAGACCAGCTATTATGTGTGGTTCAGAGTGTTGGGCGGTTTATAAGAATGTAGAGCAGAGAATGGTTGTAGCAGAGATGAGAATACTTAGATGGATGAGTGGAGAGACTAGAGAAGATAAGATAAGCAAATAAAGAAATTCAAAACAACATAACTGTCCTATGCACTAAACTATTTTCAAGTGACCTACGTCTTTTCAGTCGTCAACAGAGTGATCTAGGGTAGATGCGAGCTCAATTTCAGTTCTTTTCACAATAGATTATACTAATGTCCTACAATCCAATGGCCCACATCGTGGCTGAGATCAGACTGCTGAGGTCGACAACTGGAGAGACACTTCCTAATTGCTTAGATAATTAGTGTAATATTTCGATTCCAATTGATACGTATTTCGTAGCTGGTTGGGTTGGGCTTTTTGTTATAAATTTAACATCTCTATCTCTTTTATAGTTTTTTTGAACTGTCGAAATATACATATTGGTGTAATGAATAATTTCATCAACCATTTTTTTTTGAAAATATTATATGGAAAGCATCTACTTCATTTTGAATTTCTTCAGTAGTAAATTTTGAACCGGGTGTTATATTTAGGATATTTTTTCTATTAGCTTTAGCGAATTTACTTGTTAATGGTGTCTTAGACCATTTTGCTGCTTTATCATTACCAATAAAATGTTCAAGCTCAATATTATCATCATCACTATCGCAATCCTCAAATAAACTGCCTTCCAAGCATGAGTTACTACCATGATCACTATTATTTACTATTCTTACTTCATTGTCATCTTCATCACCTTTCACTTCTTCTTCCGACGTTTCAATATCTAATATATCATTCACTTCATTTGGCGTCAGCTTTGACCTAATATAATTATTTTATAATAATTATAATATTAGAAAAATAAACGTCATTATCAGCCAATATAAGACGTAAAAATTACTTACATTATTACCCGCGCGGAGTATTTTATTTACCGATACAAAAATATTTTAAAACCGAGGTTGTTTGCGCAGCTATAAACATCGAAAGACGACTGAAATGGATTAATAACTATTACATATTAGATAAGGAAAAGTTAAATTAGAAGAATAACTGAAAAAAAAATAAAACAAGATAAATAAAAGTATTGGTGTACAAAGTAAACCAGCTCGTGTAGTTAAGAGTTAAATAAACTAATAAAAACGATTTCAACGGAAAAGATAAAAATATGTTTCTTTTTTAATTTTAATGACTAAGTATTAAAGATATGGCTTTTTTGCTAACGACATTTCTTATGGTTAACTTTTAATTCTAAGTTTAGTTCTACAATTTTTCCTGTGAATAGTATAGATTAATAGATAAGTGACAAAAACGAAAAAACTACTATTATGAGGGTTCATAGTCAAATTTTCAACTCTCTTGCGGCACCTGAAGATATTGAAAAAATATATTTTTTTCCCCTTAATCAGGAGACTAAACTGCAACTATTTTTTTCTATTAGAATTTAATTATCAACATTTTCAATATTTCGTTCCACCCTAGTGTCCGTTCAACAATCGTATACGTTCGTCGAACGGACAATTCAAAAATAGACCTCCTGTCAAGTCGTCTGGGTACCGACCTTTTTTTATGGATCGAATATAGGCAATTTTGCGGTTTTTACATGTTACGCAGTGTCGTGTGTTGAAAATTAAATGATTATTAGTGTGAATGATTTGAGCATTTTAGATACAAAGGTAGACTTCAAATGTAATGACATGTTTAAACACTCCTTCGTGACATATTAGTATGTAACAGAATTTTTAAATAATATAAAACTTGTGTATTTAGTTGTTGGTAATATTTTTTGAGACTTTCACAAACATAGGTTATGCAACTACTCAGTAATAGTAATTTATAATTCGATGAGACTTTTGAATGTTCCCGAATATCAATGAACCGTCGAGCAAGAAAACGTAGAAAACCGTACCTACGTTCTAAAAGTCTTACATTATTAATACGGTAAAATATATTATAAGTTGAAAAAGAAATTACATTAAATATATTATAAAAGAAGTTTATACAGAAAAATTATATTAATTCTTCAAAGCCTAAATTTTTGTAATCAATTTCGATAATTTTAGTACAAAATGTATTCATATATTTGCAAATACGATCAATAATTGTACCATCATACTTATTTTTATAAAAATAATTTTTCAATTTATTCATATTCATAATATTTTCTGAAAACTCACAACGATCTTTTAAACGTTTACTCATCTCTTTGTTTATATCTATCTGCAACTCCTTGTAGGACTCTTCTAATTGATAAAGATAAGTCTTTGCTTCTATTTCATTCATATTTTTTGTAAATTCATATGAACCATTATTCAGAGCTTTTATATCATAAACAAATCTCGTTATAATACTGGCTAATTTCGTCAAACGATTATGGCTTCTTTTGCTATACTCCCAAATACATAATTTTTTTAGTGTAGCCATAGCAGATAATAAGGATTTTAGCATATTAATGGACAGCGATATTGAATCACGCATTTTATTTATGCTTTCTACGTGCTTTTTAATAGTACCCTTTGATTCTTCATTTCTACATGAACTGATAAGGGTTAACAAGATAGCTTCGTAGTTTTTGATTATTTCACTATACCTACACCTCAGTAATTGTTCAAAATATTTTTCTATTTGACTTAAATTAGAGGAGTTCACTTTAGTTCGAAACAATTCATAAGCGTCTACTTTTGTACGGTCTTTTACAAAAATTTTAATATTCTGAAATGGCTCAAAATTTTGCTTTTCAAATATTTTGTTTAGTGCAGCGATCTTTTGCTCGGTAGAAATAACATCCGATGGTGGCACAAGTCTATAATAATTAAAATATTTTATTGACATCGGTTTAGTATTTTGTAACATTTTATTTAGTTGTTCTTGAATTACTTTAAACATTAAGGTTAAATATTCTAAACTATTCAAAAGTAAAACTTTTTTTCTTTCTCTAAATTTTGATATAAGCCATAAGTAGAAAAATAATAGATTAAGGGAATTTGAGGGGTTTTACGTGTACAAAATTTATACGAATACTTTATTTTATATGTATAGAGGAACAATTTTTGTTTAAAAATTTTAGTGAACTCAACAGTTAACAAAAGTATAAAATAAAATATTTTAAAATTAAACAACAATTGTATCAATATATACAGGTGATTTTTAACTACACTTTTCGAAATTTCTGCGAATTTATAATGGTAATAATTATTTTATATAATTTACAATAATGGTTTTTTGTTGAAGTACTTAAAAAATTAATATCCTGGTATAATCCCTTATAGCCTAAGTTCTGATCAACTTTAATTTTAAATAATTTATTTTTAAATAGAATTTTCAAATATTAATCCCATTTTTTTTAGTTACAAGCATTAGTCAGTTGAATATTATTATTAATATTATTTGTATTGAGTCATTCTACGTGAAATCACATAATATGTGAGGTTATAATTCAGAAATTTTTGAAATTTTTATCAAAGACTTCTTAAAGGTCATTGTCAAAGAAAATATATAATTTTTTAATTGTTTTGTTTCCAGATAATTAAAAATAAAAAAAACACCTGATATTCTAGAGCTTATAACTTCAAATTTAAATAATCTAACACTATAGAACTATCATTGTTTTACTCATATTAAATAGTACTTCATAATTTCATTTTTTAGTTTATAAATTTTGAAATTTGTTTAACATTGAAATTTTTATTTAAATTTTTACATTTTGCAGTATTTTAATAGCAAAATTTAAAGGTCAGTACAATTGTTTTTATTTCCAAAAACTTTTAGTTATATTCTTTTAACCCATATTATATTTGAATAGATTTATAACTTTTTTTTATCGTTTTACGATCTTCTAAATGCATGGTTTTCTGAACACATCTAACTTTATAATTACATTACACAAAATTGACAGGACGAATTTTTTCAAATTTACATATCACTTACTTTTAGGCAATTAAAATGTCTGTTGAAAATATTATGATGGAATAGTAATTTTAACACCATTTATAGAGTTTCAAAATTTACGATTTACGTATTTTGGAAAACCCAATAAATTTTAATTTAATTTAGTTATTTAATAATAATTCTGAAGAAATATCTAAGCACAAATTTGAACTTTATATATCACACATTACTGTGTACCAAATATATAAACTCATCAGGAATTCTATTGTACTTATCTGCGAAATTCATAAATTAGTTTATTGAAATCTGTAAGGGGCTAGTTTAATACTAGGAAATAAAAAGTGTGTAATATAAGTAGTAAGAACATAGTAATAAATGTTCTTACAAGTCTATGATAAAATTTTCTGACATTTATGAACAATAACCGCACATGATTTTATGATTTCACATGGAATGACCGTATTAAAACTGTATAAAAATAGGGGCGAAATAAAAATAAAATATATAAAAAATAAATTTTTTTTTTTTCGGAGTGTATTAAAAAATTACTTTCACTAACTAAACTACTCTCTATCATTGTTTTGTAAAAAATTAGGTTGTACATTTTAATGAATTTTTTAGCATTAGATAAAATTACTAACATTAAATGCAAAATGATACACCATTACATTTGTCGGATATCATTAAAAAATCAATGCTGTAAGCTTAAAGCTAAAAATCTCATAATAATCTTAATATCTAATAAATTTAATAATTATTAACTTTACCCAGGTACAGTTGGATGTAATAATTCTTGATATCCGAGATTATTATTCTCATTTTCAATAGTTTCCTCAAAAAATATAATGAGATTATCATAAATAAATTGAACAAAACTTTTATCATTTTCTTGCGGTAAAAAGTATTTTTCGTTGTACTTTTCTAGCAAACATTTACGAACAAAATGACTAGTAATATTGCTGGATTTATCTGAAAATGGAAAATTTTGAAGCATATGATTTACTTCGGTATGGAAATGTTTGACATTTAAAAGATCCCCGCAAGCTTCATCTGTATCAAACTCTCCATTTGATTTAATGTAACTAATCTCACATCGTTTTTCTTTTGATAGAATGAGTGTAATAAAATATTTAATCTCGTAAATTACTGTATTTGGAGTTACGTATAAAGGAAATATAGATTTTAGGTTCAAATTTATGATAAATAACAAAATATCATTTAAAGTTTGAAACATGGATTCTGATTTTACCATAACTTCTTGAATTAATTTAGTGCATTCAACAAATTTGTGAAATGATTTTTTATTATAATAATTTTCGCATTCATTTATCATCGTCTTTATATGGCCGTCATATAATTTCAATAATTTTGCATATCTGAAGTTTATTGAAATTATTATGGAGTTAAATATTTGAGGTATAAGATTAATTTCATTATTATTTATATTCAATGGTGTGTTTAATAATTTGTCTGTCTTGATTATATTATCCCATAAATTAAATTTCTTTTGAAATTGACTATGATACATAATGTGATTTACAGAGTCAATTAAATTTAATATGACATCAGAATCATTAATAGAACTATTATAATCATTGCTCGTTAAAATATATTTGATATTCCACAAAATTAAAATACTATAATAAAATTTAAAGTTCATTTTTATCTAATAACTTAGAAAAAAAAATTGACAATTAGAACAATATAATGTTAAATGATGTGGTTTATATAATTCACCTTAATAGAAATTTGAAGTTTAATTTTATAATGTGAAACATATTATTTTAGATAAACAACATTTAAAATTTAATGTTTACCTCTTACTCAACGTTATTTTTAATTTTTATTGCTTCATTATATTTTTGTTACTCAATTGTATGTTCTTTTATTTTTTTTGAAGTATAACAATAATATATTTTAGAAAAAAATTTTGGTGTATGAATTTTCTTAAAAAAAATATAAGGTATGCCATTTTTAACACACGGGGACATTCCAAAAGTTTAAAAATATATATATATATATTTTATTCGCTGTTTTATGAATTATCATTTAGAAACATGAAATATCAATATTATTTGAGTGTTCATTATCCATATGTTTTTATCATTATACATACTGCAAGGGGACTTTACAATGAGGTTGTTCCGCTTGCATAACAACTAGCTATGGTAGCAAGGGTCACTTCTACCTAGGATTGTTGTCACAACTATCAGATATGATTAATGATAATAGGTAGAATTTAGTTAATTAATCAAAGACGCTTCGGTGCAAATCTGTAGATAGTGTTTAATTTTAAAAAAATGGTGAATTATTCCAAAAGCTACATGATCTCCTATTTCTATTTTATTTATATCCTGATTACAAGTTTTATGATTTATAAGTGTAATATATGAATAAATATATAAATGGAGTTATTTAAAAAAAAAGTAAGTCGAATGAAAGTTAATTTTATTTCTCATAAAAAAATTGTATTGATCCATACACTTTTCAATAAGTTGGAGTAAAAGTGTCAGAGTTTCCAGAACACTTTCAAAATTTAAGTTGAAAAAGTTGTCATTTTGAATCCCCTCCTGTGGACAGGTAAAGGGTCAGATTTATAAAATTATATAAATTCAGTTATTTAAAAAAAAGTTATGTCAGTTTTAAGTAAAAAAAATTGAAAAAAATGTCGAAAATAAGCGATTTTTAAATTTGTAATTTTTTTGGAGGTTTCCCCCATTTACGGGGAACGAGGGAAACTTATTCAATTTTCGATGATAATATCTTCGATTAGATACGATTTGTGATCTTTTGACGGATCATTGAAAGAAATCGGTTCGGTGAGAGCTGAAAGAAAGTGGCAACAGACAAAAAAAAAAAACCCAGCACAGAGGGGTCGCGGCACAGTGGTATCGTGGCATAATTGGATCAAGTATAATAATATCTGACAGTGATTAAAATCACTATAAAAAAAAAACGCTTCGATGCAAATCTTTAGATAGTGTTTAATTTTAAAAAATTGGTGTATTATTCCAAAAGCTACATTATCTGCTAGTTCTTTATTAATATCCTGAATGAAAAAATGATTATTAAAAAATATTATTTCTTATAAAAAAATTGTGTTGATCCATATACTTTTCAATAAGTTATAGCATTATAAATTTAAAAATGTAAAAAATAAAATCGAGAATTTTCACACGAAAATAGCATTCGGTAGCCATTTTCACCGTGAAAACAAATTAAAGTCCGAAATTTTGTTTTTTCATGAAAAGTACATTATATTAGCATTTATTTAATATATATATAAAAGTGTCAGTCTTTCTGGAACATTTTCAAAAGTTAAGTTGAAAAAGTTATCATTTGAAACCCTTCTTGTGGGCTTGTAAATGATCAAATGTTTACAAAAATATATAAAATGATAGGTGAATACTTAAGGTATCTATAAAAAAAAAAATTATATTGATTCGGTCATTTTTAAAAAAAGTTATGGCAATTTTAATAATAAAAATTGAAAAAATTTCGAAAATTAGCCATTTTTAAATTTGTAATTTTTTCGGAGGTTTCTCCCATTTACGGGGAACAAGGGTTTTTTTTTCAATTTTTGATGATAATGTCTTCGACTAGATACGATTTGTAATCTTTTTACGTTTTGTTGAAAGAAATCGGTTCGGTGAGAACTGAGAAAAAGTGGTAACAGACACAAAAAAAAAAAAAAAACACATCATAGTAAAACCAATACCTTCTTAACTTCGTATCGAAGCTAAAATATTTTAAGCCATAATCATTTTTCAAAATTATTTAAAATGATTATAATTTTATTAAATAACTGTACTTTTTAACAAAATTTTTTTTCAGAAAAATGATTCAGATTACGTTTTTTTAATGTTTTACTGTTTATAGAGTAAATTTAGAATCAGTTCAAATATAACTTGAAACATTTTTTATTCGTGAATATGGTAAATTTCTAGTTTTTCAATAATTTTAATAATACGATATTTTTATTCCGTTAATGATAATTTTCTTTTCCTTTTTAATATTAGTTAATAATTGTTTTGGTTGGATATAAAATGTTTGTTCTTACGTTCAATGTGTTACGAACCCGTATTGTTATGATATTAGTGTAATGGGGTTAGGGAATAATTAGTATTAGACAACGAATAAGCAGTAAATAATCGCGTTCGAACTGTTGTATAAATATATCGTGTTATAAGTTGTAAGTGATTCACCTTAAGACAACTAATGTTATAGTTATAAATAATTGTATTTCTAAAATTAAAGAACCGTTGTATAAATATATTGTGTTATAACTCTGTACTTTTATTTCACATTACAACAACATCCACACCAACACATTACCGTGTCTCATCTTAGGTAGGACACAACAAATGAATATGGTACAATGAAATTGTTAAATTTTTTCCTCACTCTATCTGTTAGGTTAAGTAATATATTTCACGAAATTTTCAAATTCTTAATTTATGTAAATTTTTAGAGTGTTTATTATTTTATATTATTATTATTTAATATTGGTTTTATTTGAGTTAAATTAATATAATTTCCATTAATTATGAGATGTTACTAAATTTGATTTACATCGGGTCCTCTTATATTACATATTTTGTGTCAACCTTGACGGATAATAGGTTAATGAAATTTTTAATTCTAACTTTAACGAGAGTAAATGATTCAAATCAGGTGTTTAATTTGTGTTTTTTTTAATGACTTTATTCTCAATGACAAATTTTTAATTTTTAAGAATATATGATATTTACAGAATAATTGAAATGGTACTTAATGTTTATTTAAATTTTAATATTGATCATAACCTTTATCATTCACCCCGTCATAGGTTTTAATTTTAATTTCAATACTCAACAACATATCAAATTACTCGAAAACAGACTACTTCAAATGAAATAACAGAAAAAATAAAACAAAAACACACAAATGATATTTTTATAAATCTTATATTTAACTGGTACATACAGCACAAATAAGGAGTACACATCAGTTCTAAGTATTAAGTGCCCTGTTCTAAATTTTATCAATACATAGGTAATTCATAGGTATTACATAGATAATTCTAAGCTAATTCACATTCATGTATACATATTCATCATATTTATAATTTTGACATTCATTTATACAGCAGTTATGGCATTGAAAAATCAAATGGTGTACATTTATATTATACTTTAACTAACAAATAAATATATATAAAAGTACATTTACATATTTATATATTTTTTATTCTCCAACACTAACAAACTACACACAGAAATAATATATGTATATAATATGAAATAAAAATAAATAAATTAACACATGGCATTACTATTAATACTCTATTTATGATCAGTAATATACTACAAATGTAATTATAAAAAAATAAGTTTTTCATTAGATATAAAATTAATAAACAATTTGATTAAATTCCTTCATTCAGCCAGCCTATATATATATATATATATAAAATACACGATTTTGATAATTTTTTTACTTTATAAATAATAATTATACTTTTAACAAAAAATTATTTATTTTAACTATTAATATTTATTTAAATAGATAATCTGAAAATAGTATAATAGTAATTTTGGACATAAGATAAACGATTGTTTAGAACTAATTTTTTATAATATTTTATTTTTATGTTAGTTTTGTACTTTATCAAATACTGAAAATAGGAACTTCAAGCACAAAAATGTTATATTTTTAAGAAAAAGTCTCATCATTAGTGTTTTATACACTAATATTGAGAATCATTACACAAAATATTTTTATAAGGCTAATTTATTCCACCGGCTGAATGTTTTGATAAAACAAAAAATTGTGTATTTATACATTGAATTTTTATCATAATTGAATAATAGAACTTGTTAGTTTTGACCAATGAATAGTTCAGTATTATTTGATGTTTGGTATAATTGTATATTACCTATAAAATTAAATAAACAAAACTTTAAACGACTAGGCTTCTTTATACTTGATATTTGACATGTAAAATCAGTTTGGTAATGTGAATATTTAATAATAAAAAGATTACTAATCCTATTATACTGTAAATAAATCTTAAAAATAAATATTATTGCAAATAATCATACATGTATATGTTATGGATTTGTATGTAAAATATTAAAAAATGGATATCAGATTATTTTTTACTTTTAGATACTTTTATAGCAAAACTGTCATAACTGTAAATTATTTTTAATATCCAAAGAATCTACAATGATGGTTGTTCATAAAACAAACTATAACTTGTTTGATAGTAGTTATAAATAAACAATGAATTGTTATGCTCAATCAATAAAATGGGTATAGCAAGAAATGGTTTTTTGTATCAATAAGAACCATATATTAAATTAATGAAATATCTGGTATCTCAATAGTTTAATTTTTTATGGCTATAACTTATAAATATTATAGTTGATTAAATGTATGCAAATTATTTATTTTTATATATGTTTCCATTTACTTAATTACAAATATATCATTACTGTAGTATTAATATAATAATAATAAAAGTAAAAAAATATTAGCTTGAAATGTATTATTTATGTTTGTAGTTTTGTTATCTTATAGCAAATACAATTTAGCCAAATATTGATAGGTATAGATACATAAATATACATATTGTGTAAAAGAAACTAAATGTTTACACGTACAAGTATCAAAGTGCTTAATGTTAAAAATTAATGATCACAGAAATGAAATTATAAATAGGTTAAAATTGAATACCCTAATTTCGTTTATAATTACAATACTTTGTCTAAAAAAATGTATAAATCAACATAAAAATAATAATTATAATTAAGATTCAATGAAAAAACAAACTTTAATGAGTGACTTTAGGCGACATGAATTTTCAACTACGGCGAGCAGATCTTGTGATTACAACAATCGAACAATTGAAATTTAAATTGATTTGAAGTTTGAACAGAAAGATTAAAAACAGACCAAAAGTCTTCTTGTGCGTACTATTGAAATTCTTTGTCTATTTGATCTTAAGGCATTGGTTAGCTGGCAAATGGTGTCTAATATATTTCATTCTTTGGATAATATGCGCGTTGAATCGAAACAAATATTTTCCGGGCAGAAAATCGACGGCCCGGTAAATATTAATTGATATTCAGTCGTGCGCGGTACTAATTTTATCAAAAGAATGAAATACATTAGGCACAGCTGGTGGGAATGCGAGTTGAGATATTTGCAAAAGAAAGTTTGATTGTATAATAAAAAAATTATATAAAAACCATTCAACGGTGAATATGATATGGGTTTCGAAGAAAAATTCACGTTGGATATTGCACATTGATATAGTTAGTTAGATTTGTATGGTAATTCAGTGAGTCGTTTATTGAGATGCGGAAATCTATCAGAACTGAATATACTGCTTATAATTGTTATTATAATAAAATTACATAAATATTTAATTCGAGTTCTGCTGTTAGGTCTGCCGCCGTTAGCCAGTCATTGAAAAAAAATGATTATTATATTTTAAACCGTAGCCAGTCAATATCGTTTTGTTCTCAATAGTACAATTGTCATTACAATAATCTATTGTTATCCAAGTATAATACAATATCGTGTCGATGCCTGACTTATTTACAATATGACAATAATAATTATAGTAGAATAATACAACAGATTAAATCAATACCGCAGAAAAATATTATTACATGGTGGTCGTATATGTACATAAAAATATTTATAGAATAATAATAATAATAATATAATAATAAACCGTTTAGGTATGTACAAATGTTTTTTTTTTATTATATATAATATAAAAGAAACGACGATCTATCGCGATATCCATTGGACAATGGCAAGAAAGACTAGAACGATGAACGCCGAACTGGACGCACTGCAATGGGAGCCGTTGAAAGTCAACTCCTCGTTTTTTACGATTTCGTTTGGATGTTTGTCATATTCGGCTATAAAAAAAAAAAAGTCAATTAAAACTATCAGCGGATCAACGAGACGACGATCTGTTCGCGTGACGGAGAATGTCAACGTGCAGACATCTGTGTCAATTTTAGGTTACTCACATGATTTTTTGTGATTCGGCTTGTTGTGCAGAGACGGACCGAACGGAGGCAGTTTGGGCGACGGCGGGTTGGTCGGCGAATACATCGAAGTCGGTCGCGGATACACGTGCGTGTTGACCGGACCCGGTAGCCGTTGAGTGATTGTCGGATTTGGCGGTCGGGTGGCCACGACTGAAAAAGAATAATACCGTTACTCGGAGTTGACGAAATTCTTGATCGGGTTAGATACTCACTGTGGCTGCTGTTGTTCTGTTGGTCTTCTGGCCGGCAGCACACCTTGAACACAACTTTCATGTTGTTGGTAGAGCAACGGCCGCCGATCCTGCGGTGGATATCGTCTTTGGACGACGTTGCTGCGAACAGAACAATTTATTGAAATGGCCACGCAAGTACAGTGGAGATATTTTATAGATACGTCTGGGAGGGGAAAAACGTAAGAGGATATTGATTGACGAGAGCATGGCGTTTTCAAACGAGAAAGGGTTTGAGAAGAGCCGAGTCCCATCTCGGATTTTGTAATTTATTTAAACTCTTACTCGTGTAAGTGGAGACCGGAAGGAAAGCGCTGTGACGTTTCTGTGAAGAAGAGATCGGGTGTTAAAAAAAAAAGAAAAAAAGATGAACCAGTACTCGATATAAATTAGAGACGTATACGTGTGAAGTTGACACGTGTACCGGGGAGCTGGTCGATTCGCTCAAATCGTGTCTACTATTAAACGTATAAGAAGAAGAAAAAAAAGGCTCTAAAGACCATTGTATTGATTTGCCATCCATTCTTAACACATATGACCATCGGGTACGTAATGGAGGCGACAAAGGTCTCTCCAATGGGTTTTCGTGTGTTTCGAGCATTTTAACTACCATATAAATGAGGTATTTCTTCCTCGAGTTGTCGTCGGCAGCGTTTTTTTTTTTTACTCGATCAAATGACCGTTTGTCGTTTTGCACGACAAATACAAAACGCGAGAAAGTCCAGGTAAAAAAAGAAGCAAATGTCTTTGGGACGACCGTAAACGTTGTTTTTTCTGCAAAAGTCAATGGATTCTCCATCGAGGTCGTCTGGGATTTAATGGCGTACTTAGTTGTCGGCAGAAGCTGTGCGTTTAATTACTAATGGAAAAATGAAAGATCTACGAGTGCGTTGGACAGTTCAAGAGCGCAAGTCGTACATTACGTGTACAGGTGTAATTATATAACAGTACTTACAGATGAAATAGTAGTCTTGTCCGGGTTGAAACTCGAGTCCGCCGGGCTGAGGCGTGAACGACCGGAACGTTATGGTGACGTACATCAGTTTGTACGGCTTATCGCAGTACGCGATGATTCGAGGATTGGGATTCGTGATCCGACACATATCGTATTCCTCTTTGGACACCTAAAAAACCAGTGTTGATATAGAATGAATTCCACAAAGATTTATTGTCGAGCGTTCCAACACCACAGTCTGTACGAATTATTCGATGACTTATTCATCGTAAGGTTTTTTAAGTAGAAAAATAGCGAAAAAAAACCCTATAGAAACTTTGACGTTGATAAATCAATGAAATCCTTCAATGGGCTATCGTCGACCGATAGCAAATGATATTTATTTCGCTGGATTGGAATCTACAATTTTCAATATGATTTTATCGCATAAAAAACGGAATGGTTAATTTAAAACTATTCCAACAATTTCGAAAAGGTTTTTAAAACTTCTCATAAAATTTTGTACGAATGTGTAATTTACAAAAAAAAATCACAGTATTACAATTACACGGTCGGGTATTTATTTATGTACGTTTTTTTCATTACCAAACGTCATCGCTATTGTTATCGTTTAAATTTTGCATAACACATCACGAGAATAATACATGATAAAGTAGTGTATTATCGTTATATTGTGTTCATTGTCGGCATTTGGCGAGAGGCGTTTGGAGAGGATTTAATCGCACGCCGTTCAAAGGTGTACGTGTATATTTAGCGAACATTATTATAATAACAATACGGGCAAACAAAAACTCGGTAAATCCGCAGCATTGTGCGGTAACAATAGAGTTTTGTTGCGGCCGTGGCTACCAATTAGTCTTGTCTCGGTTTTCAAAAGGTCTCGGCTAAAAGCGGTCCGTGTAGGCCGAACCGAGTTGAATTCGAGTAGGAGAAGCGCTCGCGAGTGCCGGTTGGGTAGCGGTGGTGGACTTGTGACTGGCGGTGCCACAAGTGCGACGACGATATTACGTGAGAGTCAAAGGTCTTCGCTGCTGCAACGTCGTCACGTGGGCGGGGACGACAGAGTTCATTGTTTGCGGGCGAATATATAAACACGACGCGAACCGGATAATGTTCGAGAGGATGATGCGTTCACGATCACGGTGGACGACGAAGCGGTCCCGTTGTGGGATACCGTCGCGTTTGTCCCCCGTGTCTCGATCCCGTCGGTTTCGTTACCCCCCTCCCCCCTCCCCCACCGCAATGATGTTCTCCCTGCCGCGACAGCTTTGGGTCGGTGATGTGAAAAAGTGTCCACTTACGTTGTAGATGATGTACTTCTCGGCGTCGTTTTCGTGTGTTCCCGGCGTGTACACGGGACATACGATGTTCACCTGGTCGTACTCGAACGGCATGTTGCCTTTGTTGACGTCGATTATGTGGTCCGTGTTGTCTATTCGGAATCTGCAACGAAATGAAAAAAAAAACGTATGAGACCAGCTGATATGGCATTCGGTCGGTTTTTTAACGGGTAGATTGCGACACACCGAGTGTTTTTTGGGCAGCCAGTATACGACGTTCGGCGAACAAAACGGCATAGCCGACGTCGTACACTTGCCCCTGGAGGGCACGATCGTTATAAACTTTTGTTTTTATAACGCGCAACCAAAATATTATCTTTGCCGTCAAAAAGTCTGAAGTTGAAGTGGACGCGCGTTTCGTTTTTAATTAATTATTTCGGCATTAATAATTTCACAGCTAAACCGATTTGAAATTATTAATAGCTACAAATATGTATATGAGACTTCTTCGCTCGATAAAAGCAAAACAAAGGTGGCTGAGGACAGTTACCTCGGGATGACAGACGGTCTGTGTCGAGTAACAATAACAAAATGTTCAAAAAGCAAACACGATTGTGAAATCTTACAGAACAATTTTTTCGCAAACGTAATTAGTGTGTAAACAGGTCGTATTTTCTTCGCCAAGCCTCCGAGCGTTCCGACGGCTTTAAACTTTTAACTATACACACACACAGTCGATAATTGTGTTGCTATCAAAAGAAGTTATTTACTTTAACATAATTCGTGTACTGTATAACAAACGACGCGGTAAAGGTTATTATAAGCTAGTCGAGAGGAGGACGAGCATCGAGCGAAATGAAATGTAAATGCTAACGACTTACCTGATGATATTGTAACGTTAAAAAACACAATTCAAGGAACGGCGTCATAACTCGACAGGCCGAAGTATTGTAGGATTTGTCGAGTCATTTATAGGCCCCCTAACCTATGCGAAGGCGTTGTATGGAGAGGGTGTTTTTTATTTGGTCGGAAATATTTTGGCTCACGAGTGGTCGATAAATTATCGTTGCTGATGGTTATAAAACGAAATTAGGACTATCGAAATACTCGATTGCCACCCAATCGATATAAGAGAAAGAGACAATTGCCACAACCTGGCATCCCGTATATTTAAAAAAAATCAGTCATAATTATACATGACAGTGTTTTAAACGTAAGAAACCTCGAACGTCATCATTATGATCGCAGTCGCTCGGTTGTCATCACTTATCGATTTTGAGCAAATTATTATCTCTTCGTACACGTTATTATTTTCATTCGGTCACAGCCACTGGTATAGATAAATATTTGTATGTTAAAAAAATAACGGCCTGTGATATATTGAAAACCGAAATGATAATTTGTTATTTATGTTATACGCATTTATGTTTACTTTCATTGGCCAAAATTATTATAACGCCGTTGTTATTTTATTATAAAACCGACCGCTGTGACTGTCAATTTCACAGTAGCCAAAACACACAACATATACGCACACTAACGAGGGATTGATAGTAAACGAACTACTAGTCATCAGTTCGAAATCCCTCGGCACTTGCGGTTAAATGTGTCATTGAAATGGACGTCCATTGAAAGCGCCATTTGTTTGCTAATGAAAAATAACGCGGTTTTTACTGTGAAAACAACGTGTCCGTTGAACTGTGCAGCACTTAATACTGTATTTGTATTGTGTTTTTTATCTTATTGACTAATCTTAAGTTGTTGTTTTTAACGAACGCACAGATTCGTTAGCAAAGTTATTCGACAGATATTTTATACGACAATTTCACGTTCGTATTCGGACTAGTAATAAATGCGATTCGGAGCTCATAATAAGTGTTTTAGTTGAGCATAAGTACTACGTTTTGAATGTGAATAAGATAGATTAGTAGAGTCGATGTTTAATAAACCCCAAGGCATTTGTCGTTAATAAAAAGTTAATTTTGCGGAAATTAACTATAAAAATTGACACGTCGTCGAAAAGTTATTATTAGGCGACAATATTAACCCAATTACTAATTCGAATTCTGCGTTGGTAGAGTACGATTTTGATGCGCGTACATTTTACAAAATGGCGACCAAATTCGACTCGTATACGGACGCGTCTTAAGCAGGTGTTGAGGAGCGCATAGCGAGTCCGGATATCAAATGTCATCCGAAACGAGCGTACCAAAGCCGGTACGGTTTCTGTGCAATTTTTTCCAGTCGTCTACCACGGGCGTGGGCGGTAACCGGGTCTAGAAACGCCCTGCTCCCGTCGACGTCTCCTACACGGACGTTCACGGTGGAAACGCACAGGGTCAGAGCTTTTTCCCCCCCCCCCTCCGCACTGGATATGCGGTACGCGCGACTTGCGTATTCCGTGTGCAAACACTGTGCGGCCGCGTGTACTCGAAATTCAAAATGGGACTCGGGTTGTCGAGAGGGGAAAAATATGGGGGCAGAAATGGCGACGGCCGTCATTGTATACGCTTTGTTCTAGACGAGCCGGCGGCGGCGCTAATAGTAATTGTAGACGAGCGAAGGGGAGAGAAATTTCCTAGGAGTTGTTTGTGCACTACTAATTGTAAACTATACCTCGTAGACGCTCACGAGGGCTTCTGTAGAGTATTGCACACGCTGTGCCCACCATTTCCCCTAACTACTATTACGATCGGAGTTCGGGGGCACGTTTTCTATTGACGGTATCTTTTTGAATTTTCGCGACACTATGCGGGCGAAAAAACGTGTCCGACTTACACCATTTTGCAATGCTCGCGCCGTCCGAATTCGCTAGGAAATTATAACTGCTTGGCACTGCACTTGGCCGCACACACGCTGCCAGCTATAAGATGCAATGGAAAGTGCGAAGAAAAATCTACCGGCCGTCGTCTCGTGCGACCGGTTTGATTGGTGAGAGAGACAAAACCCTACGGAGGGCAGCAACAGCAAAAGAAATTTCAAGTCGCAGAAAACATTTTGACGAAACGAGTACCGACGACGAGGACGGGGACACGTGTCTGGAAAATTCTAATATTTTCGGAGAGATTTGCGAGTTATTTATACGCGAAATTCTTTACGACGTTATTTTTCATCAAAAGTCCGTACCTCCGTCGCTAAATAACTTTAAAGGTAACATTTTATCGAGTCTTTTTGAAAAACCAAAGAATAGAGCGAGACAAGTGAAAGAAACAACGGCGGTGGCCAAATCTTAAAAGACACGGCAATCCTTTTGTTTGGATACTCGTTACAGTGAAGAATGCTACGAATATTTCTCCGCCGTCACTTCGCTGGCTTCACATTCCTACGCGTTCAAATAAGCCGTACTTTTTGCCCGGAAAATAAAACCAGCGATCGCAAACCATTCTTGTTATGCAGCCCTTTTGAAAGTAAGTTATTATGCGAAAACTATGCGGCGGCAGGTATGTAAATGGATTGTTTCGTCGGAGAGAAAACATGACAAATGTTACAGTGTTTGTCGTGTGTGTGTGCGCGCGCGCGCGTATATCACACAAGTGTTGGAATTGGCGGTAAACGTCTCGACGACAGAAATAGAGCGTTGGCAGGTTGGACGCGCCGAACAAGCCGGTCGTCTAACGCGCAAACGGCGTCCACCACAAACGGACGGACGGCCGTGCAGTGCTTTCGGTGGACCCATTAGCGAGCGATGGACGCGAACGCCGTGCGGTCACCCTCCCAGCGCTAGCTTTTTAATTGGATCGTAACGTCGAGCATCTGGCCGGTGTACACGTATGCTGCTTACACGTGCACGGCATGTACACGTTGGATGTAATACACACTCGCGTTTCAGTAGTGTGACAGCAGCGAGGCGTGTTGATTTATAACGGAGGCGGCCCAGATTGAGTGCAGTGTGATTTCAGAACCGTCGCTACGGTCGAACGCAATGTCGCCATATGAGTTATGGACCGATTTATGGTGTGTGTAAGTGTGTATTACTACTACGACGAAATATTTAACCGGTGTGTGTGTGTCGATCGCAGTGTAACGCATAAGAAACACCGTGTTTACGTTCATTTCGGTCGCCCACTCCAATTGATATCGCGTTAAGACTAACGGAAATCGTCGGCTACCCCGAACCACGATCATTTGGAAACGCGCGGGGAGACGATAATAATAATAAGAATTAACCGATTGCTGTCGTAAACTTCAAGCGAATATCTACACGGAGAATGGCATATGTTCGGCTGGATGGTAGTGGGGGGAGGAGTGTCACGGGGAAAGCCGGACGGTTGCATTGTTGTGGGGAAATCGATATGTTATTACTGGTGGACGACATGTAACTTTGGTCGCAAAAGGACGACAACAAATGCGATATAAGGGCACGTTAAAAGGGATATTTTAATATTACGAATCAGTGTCAGATTTCGCGCGGTGGGACAAAAGGGACTCGAATTCCGACGAAAAGCATCACCGACGCTGTTATTCGTACCTCGTTTTGCGTCGAAATCAAATAACAATATCAATAACGCGCCCGTTTTGACGACGTGTTATATGAGAGAACAGCACACGCCTGTGAGAAATAACGACGACGCAATATCCGTGACGGCGATGCGACAAGCAGACGAACACTAGCCCGTTGAAATAAGAGGACAGGCCTGTCTGTTGGATTTGGTTTGATTCGAAAACGGACGGCTGGAAAAATAAAAAGCAATTCGATCGCATCCCTACCTCGAGTATTTAGAGTTTCCAATCGAATATTGGATTTACTAAATACTTGGAGATAGCGAGTTCAGGGAAGTGTAAAATAAATGCCATCATCAACAGTTATGGCTTAGGCCCCGGCTTTCTGACGATCCTATGTCGGAGCTGCTTCTGTGTGACGCAAAACAATTGATTTTTAATACATTTGCCAATCGACGTGCACCAGACAATCGGTATGAGTTTACGGATAGATAATTAATAAAAAATGTGGTAAAGCTGAAAAAAAGAACTGAGCAAACTTTCGATGAAATTCAAAGGCATTCAAAGGTTTGCGATGAGTTTAGGAATCAAACAAATGTTTTCCACGTCGATAATATTAAAACAATGTTATTATACGCTAAAGAGATAATGAAACGCCTATCCTGTTGCCAATCACCGAGAACGAGAAAAAAAAATTGCACATTTTGTATGCCTTTTGATCGG